CTGATTTTGATACTTAAAAAGTTCGAAATTTATCCAGAAAATATCATATATATATATATATATGATATTTTCTGGATAAATTTTGAACTTTTTAAGTATCAAAATCAGTAAATTCAACTTAATATCAAAAATAATTTATATTAAATAATATACTGATATATATCAAATTATATTATTAAAAATAATAAATAAACATAAAAAAAATTGAATTACAATAAATAGAAACAATATAATTAATAAATTAAGAAAATATTAATAGTAAAATAAATAATTATATTTATATATTGTAGAAATAAAAAATAAATTATTTAAAATATTTAGAAAAACATAAAAATAAATTTGAAAGGTCTATATGGCCATTATTTTTCATTTTAAAATTTATTTATTAATTTTGACCCTTAAAAAGTTAAATTTATCTTGAAATACTATTTTTTTATTTCACAGTATTTTGATCGATTGTTATATCAGACATACTATTTTTTTATTTCACCCTACAAATAGTGTATCTAATATTAGGGCTTGGGTTTTCTGGATTAAATTTTTAACATAAGTTTCTCACCTATTTGAAAACTCAAATGTCAAAACACATTGCATAGATTCATCATATTTTGATGGAAATAAACAAAAAATTAGAGAATTTTTTAAAAAAAAGATAGCCTTTTCACATGTTGAATATTTTAAAAAATATCAAAATTTTCCTAAAATAGAAAAAAAAATCATAAATACCTATCTGGGTGTTAGGTGTTATTCAAAGGTTTCATGAAAATTTTATATCATTTTGACTACTCCTTATATTAGATATATTATTTTTTTATTTCACCCTAAAAAGTATTTTATCTGATACCAACGCTTGGGTTTTCTTGAATCATTTTTTTACAATAGGTTTCTCACCTATTTAGAAGCTTAAGGGTTAAAAAAATAATTATATGGATCTATCACATTTTTGTGAAAATAAAAAAAAAAGATAAATCAGAAAAAAGATAAACTATTTAGATGTTGAATAACTAGAAAAATAACAAAAAACCTCTAAAATAAATAATATTATAAATGTTCATCTGGGTGTCATTCAAAGGTTTTATACAAAGTTCATAGTATTTCATCAGTCCTTGTATCATATATACTATTTTTTATTTCACCCAAAAATATTATATTTGATATTAGGGCTTGGGTTTTTTGGATCAAATTTTTATCATAGGTTTTCACCTATTTAGAGGCTCAAGTATTTAAAAACATTGCATGGATCCATTACATTTTGATAGAAATAAAAAAATGAAAAAAAAAGCAAAAAAAAAGATTGTTCGAATGCTGAATAACCTAGAAAAAAAATAAAAAAACTTCATAATAGAAAAAAAAAATCATAAATGTCTCTCTGGATGTCATTCAAAAGTTTCAAAAAAAATTAATTGCATTTTGACTAATCCTTGCATCAGTTATTCTATTTTTGAAATAGTGTAATTGATATTAGGGCTTGAGTTTTGTGGATCAAATTTTTATCATAAATTTTTTCACCTATTTAGAAGCTCTAGTATCAAAAAACATTACATAGATCCATCACATTTTGCTGAAAATTTAAAAAATGGGAAAAATTAGAAAAAGATAGATGGTTCAAATGTTGAATAATCTAGTAAATATCAAAAAAATCTCTAAAAACAAAAAAGCTTCTCATATATCCATCCATATGGGTGTCTCTAAAATTTCATCCTAAAAATTTCAGCTTATTCTGACCAAGCTTTGTATTCATTAAATTTTCTTTTTTTTAGATATTTAAATATTACATTTTTTAGATAAAAAATTAACCAAAATTGTCTCTGTTTGGAATGGAAATAATAATTTTTTGATATTTTTGAATAAATAACTTTCTAAGAGTCAAAATCAGCATATATATATATATATATATATATATATATATATATATATATATATATATATATATATATATATATATATATATATATATATA